CCAACACGCCCATGCCCGACCGCGACTACACGTAAAGCAGATCAGATACAGCGACAACGTCACCCACCCTGGTGCAGCCCTCGGAAAGAAGAAGGAAGGAAGGACGACTTCAATCAATTCTGTGGTTAATCAGGGACAAAGACGGACAGAATTGTAACGTTCCAAGTATCACATCAAGGTAAATGTCAGCGTGCCTGATCCTCCCACAGCCACAGCTGGCGCGAGCGACTAGGCCGCAGAGCAAACGTGGCGTGCTGAGTATTTTCGACATTGAGGACGATTTTTCATCGTAAGGAAGATATATATAAATACAATTTCGTATTGTTTTGTTGAGCCGTTTTGTATCTAACTGAACTCGGCGCGAATTGCTCAAACAATGTTGGTGCCACTTGCTTTTTGTACATTATTCACTTGTTTCGGGCGACAGAGAGTAAATTCTGCTAGTACACTAATAAAATTGTATAAGTACTTTTAAAAGCAAAATATAAATTGAAATAGCCAATCTTATACAATAACAATTTTTATGCAATAGCACACGAAAATAAGGTTGGTTTTAAGGCACGATCTGCTGATCACGCTGAAGCTTGAAATCCCGAAATCTATTAAACGTCAAGTCTTGGCTTATGTGCTCACAACACAATATTCCAAAACATTCCTATTTTCGCATTGAGGTAGCGAACCTTTGAGTTATTTCACATTACTCCTCACTTGAAAGAAAAGGCAAAACTGCTCGCACAAATCACATGCATACATACATTTAACTGCTCTATTAGACATCAATGAAAGAGAATTGACAACGTTCACAACACTAATTCCTATCTAAGTGGAGCTAAAAAAAAATATTAACATGATGCAGCTCTATAAAGGAAATATTAAAGAAACATGATTTTCGGTACTAAGTCTCTCAAAACTATTAACTTCATGAGCCTGTTTTCCAAAAACAATTTGAAATCGATCGATTGATAATTATTCTTTAGATTGAAGAAAATTAAATTAAAAAGAAAAAAATAGTTTTCAAGTACCAAACTATGCCTCAAATGATCCAGATCGTAATGCTAACAGGGAAACTGGCGCTATAAACAAAAATCGCATTAAACACTTTTCAATAGGCATGAAAGTTTCACACTCCAGCTGTGCCAGCTGGCTGTCATGAATAACTCGCCTCCCTTTCAATCACTGTAAAAGATTTCTCCAACAATATAGGAGACAACATTTCTGCAAGTGATTATAATGCCAAACACACGCGCTTCATTGTCAATCCAACCAACTTGAGAGAAGTAGGTCATAGGCCATATGTTTCATATTTCTGATTATATTGATTTCTAGTCACTCGACTCTTTTTTTTATACCATGCACTCATTAAAATGGTTAAAAAGGGTATATATGTTTGTCTGTCGGTTTGTATTAACGCGTCGAACTCGGAAAATATAAGAGCTTGATTTTGAACATAACCAGCAGTGCGAGTTTGTTTAAATCATCGATAATCCGTTTTTATGAAATCGTTAAAATTCGATATCGGAATCCTATTTTTGTGTATAACTTGTAGCCTAAATGAGCTAGAGTCACCAAACTTGAATTGTAGCCGCTTATTCCTCCAGGGCAACATTTAGAACATGATCTCTGAAGACAGCCTACACAAACATGACTTGTTATAGAATTAGAACGAAAACCACTCTGAAAAAAGTGAAACAAGAAAATTGGAGGGAAATCGATATTGTGTTAGAAAAATGTGCAGTAAAAGCATATCCCCACATTCCTATTATTTTATTCTCGCCAGGGGAAAATGCGGAAGAGCGACTGCGATTGGCCACCCGGTTCGCTCAGAGAGAGAGAGAGAGCAAGAGGAGAGCAAATCGGATTACGTTCGTAAATCCCTTGGCTTCAACTGGGCCATTGACCTAGAATTTTCAGCTGTGCATATAGGCAGCAACGGTGACCATTTTTCGAATTTTTGCGTGTGCCGAAATTCGGCACCGGTCATGTTGCTACCCAAATGTACAGCTTAGAGGAGTTTGATTTGGTCAGCGGTCAAAGGCGGGCGTGTTGTGGCCAGAAAGAAGAGAAAATAATATTACCGTGGTCGAGGCACGCAAGCCTGAACATTTAATTTTAAAATTATTAACATTAACAAAGAAAAAAACATATGAACCTGCCGGCGAGGATACATAAACATAAATAAAATGTTTACATGTATAAAAGGTGCCAGGCAATCGTACAAAGTCCACAAAAGCCAAAGAATTAGTGCTACGCAAAAACAATCACAATTACCGACCGAGTTCAACGCCTAAGGACGACAGCCAGGGACCCTAGGCCACAAAGAGGGGAGCGGTAAAAGGCGGGACTCTGACAGCGAGATGTCTAGACCGATTGAGTCCGTTCCAAGATCGTTTTCCCCACTCCAGGCTAAAAGCAGTGGCCAGAGGGCGCGGACAGTTGCCCGTTTCAGTGTGCTTTTTCTAACCAGCAACGCATAAATTAAATCATTAGATTTAAGTTTTTTTTTTGCTTCTATGTTAAAATAAAATACTACTTTAACGTATTTTACGGCACCTATATAATCATTTTGGCACATATGAATATATATTTATTTATGTGGGTACTTTGTTCCCCATTGGGGCAAAACAAAATTTAAACTCACATTTAGTCGTCTGGTTCTGGTGGCTTTTGGCCACCGCTTCTAGCAGTGTTCGAGTGGGATCGATTGCTGAAAAATCAAATTACATTATGTTCGCTGTGAAGGCGGTGTTGCTGTGCTTAGTGTCTGCATATTGCATTGCATCACCAACCATTGTGATGTATGGTTAGTGATTGCATCTATACAACAGCTTTCAAGCGTAGTATACGAGCTGTCAATATAAAATTAAAAAATGTAAGGCATGATATTACGATAGGTCTGCATATTTAACAAACTGATGACTGTCTAATATTCTGTTACATCTTATCTCAGTTAGTCCTTTCAGTATTCCTATGCGGGGTTGGTATCCTCATTTACTCTGACGTAAAGCACTTTCCCATAATGCTTCGAGAAAGAACACCCTGTTGATAGTTTCTAATTGTGGAACTCGCGGATCTCGTACGCCTAATTCACATTTAGATTTTTTGTGTGGGCTTTGGCCTAAGCTCAAAACACGAAAAGGCGTGAAAGCCCGACATAACATTTATTTTTATTGTTATTGTTATCAAAATGATTGATATTCAGCTTGCCCTTTTGCTTAGTATACAGTTTATTTAAGAGTGTTATGTTTTGTCCGTTAGTCATATCTAACGCCCTAAAACTAAATTAATGACGAGGCTTCGCGCAAAAAAGTATTCTAAAGCAAATATGCAAGAAGATGGTCGCTAATACGACCTAAATATTAAAATAACACGACGGTAATATTAATGTTTGGAAAGAAATTTACTTAATTGATTGGTCCAAGCTTAGCCTCAGTAAATTGTTAAGTATTCGGGTCGCGGCAAGCCTCCAAAAGGAGAGACATGACCGTCTGTTCAAACATCCATTTTGCGCTCTAGACCAAAGTTCTCCATCGCCTTGGTTAGCAGGGGCCACAGTCTTTTCTTATAAGTGAGTGTGGTCGATTATGTAATGCACGTATCCGCTGTTTTAAAGGGCATTCGTTTTGGCTTTGGCTTCTGCCTGGTTCCTGTCGCTATCGTGCACGACGATGTATTTGCTCCTGGTCATCCCGTCTGGTTCGAGGGTATGAGCATTCACCCTCCACGGATCCATCATCCTCAACCTTGCTAAGTCCAATTAGGTCTAAATTTTCCTTGAACCGTCGAATGAAATTTAAAAGTCCTGTGGCGATGAATTCGTGTTTCGTGACCCCTTAGATAACCACTGAAACGTAACTATGGTAACTGAGCGTTTGTCTGTCTTTTGTATCTCCGTCTTGACGAGGCCGCTGTAGATTTCTACCTCCAGTAGACGTACTGTTGCTTAAAGATTTAAGTGCGCAGGTAACAACGTATTACCAAAGACAATATGACACTAATATACAATATAACACACAATATAACACTAAGATGAGTATGCTACTATGCAGCTTGATTTTTTTTAATTTCGAGAACGAAAACGAAATCAGCATCATTGCGCTCTCACAGCCGAAAGAGCGAAAAACTAAAAATATAATATATTCTCAGCTTCAGCTCTATGAAGGCCGTGCAAGCAATTATGTTTGTATGTGTGTTGTTATTCACAGCTCTGGCTTTGGCTGGCAAATGAATAAATGTTGTTAGTTTCCTAGCGCTTATCATGCATGACCTATCCCAAATTTGTGTTGACATATGAATGCATGTTGTGTACTGAGGCTGGCTCTGTAGAAAATCTGTTATTTTAAAGTCGTCGCAAATATTTATATAATTTCTTTAGATTCAATGTTTAATTATTTATTATTATTTTTATTTTACTAAAAAATAAAAGTCCCAAAAAGTACAAATAAGGTAAGTTAAATAAGTCGGTAGCTTGTTCGACCGGCAGAGTAAAAAATAGTTTAAACAAAACAAAAATTGATAAAATTAATCTTTGGAAACACAAATTTGCAAAATTAATAAGTTAATTTAAAGAAATTATATAAATATTTGCATCGACTTTAAAATCCTCAGAATACAACATGCATTCATTGTGAATAGCTGCTCGTTCTCGTTCAAGACTCATGTGTGCGGGGTAAACCGAGAACAAGTTTCATTGTAATTGCAACTAGTAATTGAATACCTTTAGGAATTCAAAATATTCTGTGAAGGCCAACTGAGCCAGTAGCAAATTGGAAAAATGTATATGATTAATAAAAATTCCCTGCTTTAGACTGTATTGGACTTTGACCAATATGTCCCTCAGTCTCATTACGCCTAGTAAATAGTCCCAGATTTGTCGTAACTTTGTTTCAACACAGAACTACAGATTGTAATCGGGGACTGGATATAGCATTCGCATACTAATATTAATTACCAACTTAAATTTGGAAATTTTTCATATTCATTATTTCTAATTTTCATTTCAGAGTTCTGATGATCTAGATACTGACACAGAGTTCGAGCCAGTCGAAGACTTAACATTGGAAACGCGTAGTCGATGTAACTACCTTTTATTATATTATGCTTTCAAAGTGAAAAGATTATATTGGTTATGTGAAACGCGTTTCCGTGTACATATTTTAACGAAATTCGCCGCTTTGTGTATCTAGTAGGGGATTCATACTTGGAACATATAACTTTTTACACGTATCATTTGGAGTCAGTTGTGTTTTCCTGAAAAATAATATAAAAAAAGTTTTCGTTACAGTTAGTTTAGAAGTCCAAAATATACACGAACGTTTAGTTGACTTTTCTCAAACATTTTTATATGATAAGGATCAAGAACAGCTGAACTTAAAAAATTGAATAAAATTTACATATACATTACAAAACAAAGGAAGGTCTGAAGTGCCCTTCTAGCTAATACTCTAAACCTTCTTCTACCAACATGATAAGCCCTCGCTTGTCTTACCTTTATCATTTCATTTTACCTAGGAGCAATATTAAAACGAGAAAGAGGCTCTCATCGGGAGTTTCCAACTAGGGGATACCCTGAATCCTCTTCTACCAACGCAGAATGCAGCTCTCGCTACGAGTTCGTTTGCCTTAGCAGTAATACAAAAAAATTGAAAAATAATAAGTCCCTGGTATTCGGACTCAAAAACCCGTGTCGACTGTACTACTTGCTATCATCTCTACTCGAAATCCATAAAATAGCAACACATAAACACAGCACAGAAAACAATACAGTCGCACTTTCAATGCTGTTTATAGAATTAAAAAAAGACGCGCATGAATGTATACATGTATACATTAATTCTTGCAATTTGCGATAGATGCCACAAACACATGTCAATATAAGCACTCGTTATCCTTAATAGCGATAGCTATCAAATGAAACATATATACATATATGTACATTAAGTATTCAAGAAGCTACATGTAAAATTTGGTGACTAGCTCTTATCGCCTCCGCCGCCGCCATATAACTAAAAATCAATTCGAACTACTCACTAATGTAATCCAAAATTTTAATGTAATTTTATCGCACAATAAGATCTCCTGCTTAAAATTTTATTAATATTTGTTAAGAAACACTGAAGTTATTAAAGAAAGTGTGTGCCTATATTGACGTGTTCGCATCATTGCCAGAGTTTCTGTATACATATACACACCCATTGAATTATATAAACAGTATTGCAATTGCGATTTTATTGTATTGTATGCTATGTGTATGTGCTGCCATTTGAATTTGAAAATAAATTGTTGGTGTGACTCGACTAAAGGCGGTGTCAAGTAGGGCGGTCGCTAACGGCTTCGAGTTTAATTTTTTAAATATTCGTTTTTATTACCTTTTAAGCAGACTAGCTCGTAGCACGAGCTGCATTTAATGATGTTAGAAAAGGGTTCAGGATATACCCTAGTCCGGAACTCGCGACTAGAGCCTCTTACTTGTTATCTGTAACATAGTGTGATTACACATTTATATCCGGAAAATGATTAGACTGTACTTATTTATGATCTCGATTCCAATAGTAATGCTAAGGGAAGAAAAACCACAGAAAATGCATAAAGTGTGGTATGTTTGCATTTGTCCGTGTTTATCTACGTATGTATAGAAGGAAGTTATTATGCCTGTAATGGCCCAATACTGGAAATAGGTATCTCTTACTCCTAGACTTTGCTAATCTATATGGTTAATTCACAATAATGCATGAAAAAATGTCTTATTTATTCTAATAGGTTTTTCAAAATAAAGCAAGAAAATTTTTACAGATTTTGTAAACTACGAAAACACGTTAATATATGAATATTCAGATGTCGGCATATATAAAGTGGTCGGCATATATATTTTGACCAACACTACTTTTTACAATAAGCGTTTGCTCAGTTAATCTGCATAAGGGTAACGGGTTACTTATTGCAATATAGTAAATGTAAGATTTACTTTACAATGTTTGTAATCAATATTGTAAGTAAAAATTTATTATAGCGAGTAAGAAAGCTGTAATCGAGTGAGCTCTACTACAAAATCCCATGTACACCTCAGTTAAAATAATATTTTGGTTTATAGCACCATGCTTTGAATTTTCGAAGTTATAAAATATAGCCCAGTATGAATGCCAAAATGTTTGTGCGGTAGGTATAGATGCATTTATTCACAACACTAAATGTAATGCAAGGTCAGCAGCACAATTTCTCAGTGACAGGCTTCCGCCTGCGGCACACCTTAGGAAATTTAATGTTAAATAATTTCTATTTGTTTTCTGATTAGCATGAAATTTTATGGCCCTAGCTTTAAAAATAAGTATTAATATTGCGAAGATGGAGAAAGGTATCCAAAAACTGAAATATTCCCATTCTGTGTCTACAATACGTGAGCCTACATACTTCAATTGGTGTTTTAAGCTGTTATAATTTTTAAGTTATACCACTAACCATACAATGTATAGACATGTCAAACAGCAGAATAATCGTATCCCGATAAGTCGTCAACGAGGGAACCCCAAGGATGCCTGCGACCATTTTAGTGTGCCCAGACTGAATGAAATATTTATAGTTCACATTCTAATTTTTATACCCTGAACCCATTGAAAATGGGTAAAAAGGGTATAATGTATTTGTGCAAATGTATGTAACAGGCAGAAGGAAGCATCGCCGATCTAGCCATGTCCGTCCGTATGTATGAACGCAAGGATCACAGAACCTATAAGAGCTAGAGACCGCGCAGATCGAGTTTGTTTCCCATATTCGATAACTTGTCCCGTTTCCAAGTAATCGATAAAAATCGATATCGAAATTCTGTTTTTGAGGAATTTCGGTATATAATAAGAGCTAGAGTCACCAAACTAGTCATGTAGCTTCTAGAATAGTATATATATATCAAGTATCTTTCATTTTATAGCTATCTCCACCTCCCCGCTTCTACCTCATAGCTATAAATCAAGTAAAAACACCAATTCATGCTGCCCACAAATATAAGCCACAATTTAAATGCAATTGACTTTCTGATAATACACGAATATTCTATAGTATTATGCAATAAGAAGTACTGTAGAAAATGTCATCAATATCGGTGAAGAAACACAGAAATGATTTAAGACAACGTGTTTTGACTTTTCTCCTATTAGCGGCAACAAGCGCAAATTTCAAGAATTTCTGTATACATGTACACACACACATTCACGCGCGTCTGATTTGAATTCTATCAACAGCAATGCAATTACGATTGTATTGTTTTCTGTGCTGCTATTTTAATTCGGTTTTTTTCTCATTAAAACTCACTTGTTGCTGTGGCTGTTATATAGAGGCGGCGGTAAGTAGTGCGGTCTGTTGCGAGTTCGAACCCTATCGAGGAGACTAATTTTTTTTTGGCTGGTGTGGCTGTCAAGTAGAGGCAGCAGCAAGTAATGCGGTCAGTTGCGAGTTCGAACCCTGCCAACGGACCTTTGCATTTTAGTTTAATTTTTCTTTATTACTACTAAAGCAAACGAGCGCGTATTAGGAGCTGCATTTGTGGTTGGAATAAGAGGGTTCAGGGTATGCCTTAGTCGGGTGCTCCCGAGTAGAACCTCTTGTTTTTTTATACCCTGAACCCATTGAAAATGGATAAAAAGGGTATTATGTATTTGTGCAAATGTATGTATCAGAAGGAAGCATCTCCGACCCCGGAAAGTATATCAAGAGCCGAGTCGATCTAGCCATGTCCGTCCGTCCGTCCGTATGTATGAACGCAAGGATCTCAGAACCTATAAGAGCTAGAGACTTAAAATTATAGCTGTAGGTCCTCCTAGTGCCCGCGCTGATCGAGTTTGTTCCGATAATCGATAACTTGCCCCGTTTCCCAGTAATCGAATAAAATCGATATCGAAATCCTGTTTTGAGCAATTTTGGTAAATAATAAGAGTATCAAGTATCTTTCATTTTATACCTATCGCCTGTTGGAAGAAGAGGGTTCAGGGTATCCTCGGGAGCTCCCAACTAGAACCTCTTGTTTATTTTAAGCAAAACAGGTCCCCACAGAAAACAAAAAAATTAGAATATATAGCGTAAATATTTCATTTAGGTCATTCAAGTTTTTATTGAATACAAATAGATCAGATTCTTCTCATTATGTCTGACTGGCCCAAGAAATACCATGATAGAGCATTTGAATGTGCGTGTCTTTTGCTACCACAGGCAGAAAGGGCACACAATTGAAGGAAATATCTCTGGCTCGCGACAAACGCCGTGATCTACTTATGCGCACATCCACACAACACAAACATATGTATGTTTGTAGATCGCGGGGTTTTTAAGAAGCTATGCAGGGAGAAAGAGACACACACATGTGCGTAAAGCAATGAGTGAGAGCGAGGCAAACTCCGCACATGCATACACACATATGTTTTTGGGCTGAAAGGAATTAAAACTAACATACATATATTAAGAAATAGCATCAGCCTCTGCCCATGCATACACACATATGTTTTTGGACTTTAAGGAATTAAAACTAACATACATATATTAAGAAATAGCATCAGCCACAACGACGTTGTGCGCTGAGCGAGATGCGGCATCATATTATTCGTTCGGCTTTCGAGGGCAGAGTTCGGCTGCCACTCTCAGAAGTCTCACTTTATTTGGGCACACTAAAACGGTCGCAGACACCCTTGGGGTTCCTTCGTTGACGATTTATCGGGATACGATTATTCTGCTGTTTGACATGTCTATGCATTGTATGGTTAGTGGTTATACTTAAAAAATAATGTCAAAATCCATATTTATCGATAATTTACAAAATTCTATGTATCGTTTAGAAGAATATATTGAGAGTAGGTCCTCTTAGTGCCCGGGTAAAAGTTTGTTTGAATTTTTTTATGAAGAACTTGTCCGGTATCCACGAAAGCAATAATAATTAATACCGAAATCATGTTTTGAGCATATTGCTTTAAGAGATACGACACACCTCATTTGGCATTAAGTTTTCTCGTATAGTATGCATAGATTAGGTATTTTTCATATATTGGATAATATGTAACAACCGCCCCGGCGTGTGTGCTTGTGTTATGAAGAATTTTCAGGTTATCTCCTTGATTGTACCAATATACTTACATATGTGTTTCTTATGAAAAAGCATTATGATATACTTTGGTACTAGAAACAGGCATTACTCAAAATGTATTTTATTGTTTGATTATTACCAAAATAATAAAAAAAAAATAATTGAATATACATAAATTTATTTTCAGCAAGCGCTCACACTGGGGATCAAACTGTTGACGAATATCCGGACATTAGTGGTATTTGTACTGCTAGGGTAAGGTGAACCAAGCTAAAGTAAATAATACGCATTATTTGTGTTGTTTGAATTAATTAGGAAGCAATGCGTAAAATGACAGAAGAGGATAAGCAAAAAATTGCACAACAAGTAGAACTATTTCGTCGCGAAAAACTTACTTTTGATTCAGAGGTTGCAAAATGGGATGACACTGGCAACGACATCATTTTCTTGGCAAAACATATGTGTATGATAATGATGGAGATGACTGACTTCACTAGGTATTTCTTTACGTATAAATTGAGATTGATTTTTTTAAAGTACAAATTCTATTGTTTTCGATTTTAAATATTAGTATAGTAACTACATTTGTTTAAGCATTTTAACCCATAAAATTACAAAACAATCTTTAGTAGACTACTAAGTAAGATGCATTTTCTGAATTTGTTATACGGTTAAAATAATGAGTTCATTACCGCTAAATTTATATGCATATGTAAAATTATTTTGAAAAAAACTTTGACTTGTTTTTATACACTGACCTGACCCCATTAAAAATAGGTAACAAGTATTTGTGCAAATGTATGTAATAGGAAGAAGGAAGCACATTAGAGCCCATAAAGTATATATATTCTTGATTAGCATCTGTCTGTCTTTCCGGGCAGCTGATTGTATGAACGCAAGGATCTCAGAACCTTTAAGAGCTTCATCCTAGTGCTCGCGAAGTACGAGTTTGATTCCGATAATGGATTACTTGACACGTTTCCCAGCAATCGATATCGAAAACTTGTTTTTTGAGCAAAATCTCGTAAGTTATAAGAGCTAGAGTCACCAAATTTTACATGTAGCTTCTTGAATAGTTATATAATTATCAGAGGTCGCAAATAACAGTCAACACTTATTTTTAATGCGGTCGGCTCTCGAATAAACATAAAAAAAACGAAGCAAATTCGGGCTTGCTCTCTATCGAACACTTTATTTCGTAGCAAATGTGTACTCTGTTCGTGCTTTAGCTTGAGCAGTGCCGCTGTTATGTCTAACAGTAAGATCTTAACAGGACACCTTCGGTCGGTCGCACAGAAATGTGTGTTATTTGAAGAGCAAAACGAAAAAAGTGGAAGCGAAAAGTGTCTTCTTCTTGTTGTCGTTTGACGATATCAATGAAAGCTAGAGCGAGAGAGAGTAAGAGAGTGAAAAAGAGGGCATGACATAATACAGTTATGCATGTAGGCAAGCTATTTTATATAGGTGTACATGCTTATATTCTATAAGAAAACACCCATTAAATAATTTCTAGCTTGTTTATATATGTTTATGTGTATGGGTATTTTTATTACATATTAAGTTTAATAATTAACAATGCATACAATTTGGTTAGACATACACAAGCACAAAAGACACTTTGGCAGCAATTTTTTCTGTTCAGTGTTCGTGGAATAACATGTCCGAAAAAAATGCAAAGAAAAGTGTCTGCTCGTGCCTAGAGCCTGCTATATAGAAACATAACTTTGTGTGTTTTCTCCTTTATTCATTCTGTCCGACAAAAACTGTTATTTTACAGACAACCCTCTGATATTTATAAAGTACTTTTCATTTTATATCTACCGACACCGCCCCGCCACCACCCATTAACTATAAATCAAGAAAGTTAACTACATGGTATTGCACACCAATTTAAGTCTCAATTTATTGAAATTGTCTTATTGAGAATATATGAATATTCTATAGTACAACAAGATCCTTTGTTGAAAACGTGTTTTGGCTGGCCTTGTGTCTGCGGCGCAAATTTCAAGAATTTCTGTATACATGTACACACACACGTTCATGCGCGTCTTTTATTGAAGTCTATCAACAGCATTGCAATTGCGGTTGTATTGTTGTCTGTGCCGCTATTTTAAGTCGTTTTTTTCTCATTGAGACTCAATTATTGGTGTGGCTGATGAGTTAAGGCGGCAAGTGGTGCGGTGAGTTGCGCGTTTGAACTCTGCCAAGGGAACAACTTTTTTTTTTATTTTAATTTTTCCTTATAACTACTAACGCAAAAGAGCGCGTAGCGCGAGCTGCATTTGGTGTTGGAAGAAGTGGGTTCAGGGTATCCCCTAGTCGGGAGCTCCCGACTAGAACCTCTTACTTAAGCTTTTTTTTATCGGCTTAATTTTCCGATCACCGAGCCGCTTCTAGCAGACTTGGTTTTTGGCCTCGCTTTCGGAGAACCTGCTTTACTCATGCAATAATATCTTATATACTAGTAGCCCGTTCTTAGTTCGCGACATCGGACCTTCTCTCCATCGATTTCAATGCCATTGCATAAATGCGGAGGTGCGAAAAAATATACTTTTTTTTTTATAAAACACAGAACAAAATACTTTTCTTGATTCAAAATTATATATTATATATAGTGGTAAAACTAAAGATTAAGATATAATCATAGGTGTTTTTCCAAATACCAGACTTGAAAAATTATAAAAAAAAATCAAAGTTATTTTCTCCTAACATGGGGCCTCTTGTGTATCACTAGGTTTGGTAACGTACAACATGTGGCTAGAGAAATCAGTGAACTGTTAAGTTACAAAAATCTAAACAGGTTTTTGTTGTATGTGATATTTGAATCTAGAAAATTTTTCCTTTATTTTCATATTTTGTAAATGTAAATAGTATTAATATTAGCATGACATTGAATTTATTATATTATATATAATACATATTTAATATTAAATTAAAAATGAAAGTGCTATGGTTATTATCCATAAACTTATATTTAAATATTAATAATCTTTTCAAATTTTTAGAGGCCGTGGTCCTTTAAAGACTACCATGGATGTTATCAACGCCGCCAAGAAAATATCGGAAGCCGGTACTAAACTCGATAAGCTAACTCGTGAAATAGCAGAGCAATGCCCTGAAAGTAGCACTAAAAAAGACTTATTGGCATATTTGCAACGTATTGCTCTCTACTGTCACCAAATTCAGATAACTTCTAAAGTCAAAGCAGATGTACAAAACATAAGTGGGGAACTGATTGTTTCAGGGGTAAGAATTACTCATTTTTTGTTTCGTTGTCATTATCGATGTTGATTTTTGCATTATATATTTTTTAGCTGGATAGCGCAACTTCTTTGATACAAGCAGCTAAGAATCTAATGAATGCCGTAGTGCTAACAGTAAAATATTCTTACGTAGCATCAACAAAATACACAAGACAAGGCACTGTCACTGTAAGTTTACCTGCCCTTCATTTAATATTAATATTTATTAGTACAATTTTACAATTTGTTTAATTTAAAGGGATATACTACTAGAAAACTCTTAATTGTATTTGCAAATTAAAAAAACTGTTAACCATCTAGACATCAAGACATAAATGCCTATTCAATTCAGTCATAACGATAACTGATCTGCATCTAGGCATCTGGTATTGGAGCTAGTGGGTTAGCAAATAGTCAGACGCCGTAAAGACTCTCACTATATTATGATTTATGCCATTCAAGTAGATATAAGCTGCACATTGAAATCGCGGTATTAATAAGCTGTTCTTCTTTTTTTAAGTCTCCAATCGTTGTATGGAAAATGAAGGCACCAGAGAAAAAACCACTTGTGCGGCCTGAGAAACCAGAAGAAGTTCGCGCTAAAGTTCGAAAGGGATCGCAGAAAAAAATTCAAAATCCTATTCATGCTCTTTCTGAATTCCAAAGTCCCGCTGATGCTGTTTAAAGGACACAATATAAATTATAAATTTAAGTATTATATACCTAATTATTATTTTATGATAAACATTAACTCTTAACAGGAACAGATTTTTATCAAATATATACTTTACGATTTACCTATATTAAATGGTTATATATTTTGCTGTTTGTTCTAAACGACTAATTACTTAAGCGTATTATTTTGGGTAAGGACTCATAGATTTCAGGACGATAGTGGGCACCAGGCGGCGTTTTCGAATATTGAATCATCATTATATGGATATTGTTACAGTGTGCATTTATAAGTTGTGGTTAATGGTCTATATGGTTAGCGGATATAATCTTCGAACTCCCAGCAGAAAGATGCGAACGCAAGCCGTCAGATATTCGTTTATTTTTTTTGACGGAGACCTAAAAATTATAGCATGTAACTTTATCTTGATAAGAAGGAAGGGCTATCTTCGGGACGTCAAGGTTTAAATTTCATTCAAGCACATCATAAGGTGTATGAATATTGACAAATGCAACATTTATTCATTTTAAGACTGATTTTTCCTATAGAAATTCATGATATAGTAGTCCAATGTTTTGAAGATATTGCTATATATAAGGAGCATAGTCAATCCAACTTACCTAATTGCCGGGTTTTGTCAAGTTCTCTAGAAAGACAAAAAGTTTATATACAATTGAGCTTTTCGAGTCGTTGTTTAAGACAGAATCCAATTAATTTTTGTTTCACTTTCATCGTTACGGATTTAAAGATGTCAGTAGACACATGGGTACTTACACCCCGGAAAGTGGTGCAGAAAGTTTCACTCGTAAGGGTGTAGGTTACGCAAGCGCACCTCTGCGTTTTCATTTAGGTATTCCAGTTTGTCGCTCAGACTTCAAATTACTGAAGTTGCTATCAGTGGCTTCGAACACGCAACCGATGCATGCCAGTATTGTTGAGGTGGCTCCGTTAATAACCACATGGAAGAAACAGTTTTCAAGAAAGCTCCTGACAAAAGGGCTGCTGCGGGAAAATCCACTTATTTGTGAATACGCTCCGGGAAGCTTCCATAGGGCTCAAATCTTTTTTTCAGATTGAGAGCAAAAGCTCTGGCCTGAGCAGAACGTCCCATTTGTCTGACTGGGTGCTTGGAAGTCGTCTGGCCGAATCTTTCGGTGAGCTTCTAATGTGAGTGGTTAGTACTGGCATCGGGAGGGAGTGCCTCACAGTAGGCTTCTGTCTCTTTCTGACAAAGTTTTCAGATCTGGAGGAGAACTTCTTTGTAAAGTGAGAAATTCACCAATTGGCTGGGGCAAATGATGCTCGAGTTCTGGCTGACATGGTTGGTAAAAAGGGTTACCTGTAGCACTAAGGGTCAAATCGAGGAATAATCGAATTTAGAATTAAAGTGCGAGTAAGCCCCATGAGTACTTGTGACCATTTTGTTATGCCCAGAGAGTAAGACTGCTGAGAGTGGCAGCCGAACGCATAGCCTCGAGAGCTGAACGATCAGTCCCAAGCCGTATCTAGCTCAGTACAAAAGGGTCTAACAAAAATAAATCAGATTCTTCTCATTATGCCTGACTGGAAGAAAAAATACATGATAGAGAATTTGAATGTGTGTGCCTTTTGCTACCACAGGCAGAAAGGGCACACAATTGAAGGAAATATCTCTGACTCGCGACAAACGCCGTGATCTACTTGTGCGGCTTCATACTGATCGTTCGGCTTTCTAGGTCGGCGTTCGGCTGCCACTCTCAGCAGTCTTACTCTCCCAGTGCATAATAAAATGGTCGCAGGCACCCTAGGGGTTCCCTCGTTGCGATTTATCGTGTTTCAATTATTCGGTGTTTGGTATATCTATGTATTGTATGGTTAGTGTTTTTACTTTCTTCTTGGTCACTATGTATAGTTGCCACCATACTGCTAGGAGTTTCCCCTAGTACATTTTCTTCTAACTTTATCCGATATAATGCGTCGGCAATATGATTTTATTTTGTTTGGTTTTTTTTATATAATTAAGTCAAACTAAGGTTTTATGATCACGAAGTATTTGGAATATTCTTAGTGTCCCAGACAATAGCCAAAAATGCTATTGATAACACTGCACCTACAGCGATATTACTCGCATCAGTAGTTAATGAGAATGGTTTCTTGTAGTTTGGGTAAATTAATATCGGAACGGACATAATTTTAATGTCATTGGCTTTCTTATTTTAGCTAAGCTGGGGATAAATTTCGGTAAACCGCAAAGTCCAAAAAATGATTTTATTTGCTTATTTGTTTTAGGAACCGGAAAGTTTTTTACTGCTTCGATATATATATAATATGACTCAAGAATTATATTTATTTTTTCACAAAATAGCAGTTGTCGAGCCTTAGCTCAAGATTTGCGTTTCTTAATTTCGCAAATCTTCTAAAAGATTATTCATTCATCTTTGAAAAGTTGCAGGGGCTTTTATCAACTCAAGTGGCTTTCGAGGATATTCATAATGTTTTGGCTCTTGAGTTTTCTTCCACTTTAATTTGATGGTAACCTTTTGCAGGGTCAATGGTGATGAAGCATTAGCAATTACCTTATCACCAAAATTTCATGCATCACTTTTACAATCCAAATTGGTGGATGATACCTGGTTGTGACATATCTTTTGGGGGTATTTATATCCATCCGCCTGTCCGTCTGTCCGTGTGTATGAACGCAAGGATCTCAGAACCTATAAGAGCTAGAGACTGAAATTTTGAATGTAGGTCCTCCTAGTACATGTTTATTTCCGATATTCGATAACTTCTCCTATTTCTAAGCAATCGATAAATTCGATATCAAAATTCTGCTTTTTGAGCAACTCTCTTATAAGAGCTAGAGTCACCAAACTTGACATGTAGCTCCTAGAATAGTATATATCAAGTACCTACCCCCGGCTTACACACCATAGCTACAAATTAAGTAAATAAACCAATTTGAACTAACCAACAATTTTAATGAAATTGACTTTTTAAGAATATACAAATATTTAATAGTACAATAAAATATACTGTTAAAAATTTCATCAAGGTGGTTATGTATATGTTGGCAGCCCACGTGTCAGCGGCAGTTCGCGCGAATTGCACGAATTGCTGTATGCATGTACACACAGACATTCACGCGCGTCTATTTAATTCTATCAACAGCATTGCAATTTCGATTGTATTGTTTTCTATGGTGTGTGTATGTGCTGCTATTTTAATTAGTTTTTTTTTCAGTTGCGATTGGTTGTTTGTTCGGCTGCTAGGTAGAGGCGGTGCAAGTATCGCGGTCTGTTACGAGTTCGAGTCTTATCGACTGAACTATTAATTTATTTTTATCACTGCCAAAGCAAACGTGCGAGCTGTATTTGGGGTTGGTAAAAGAGTGTTCAGAGTATCCCCTAGTCGGGAGCTACCGATTAGAGCATCTTACTTGTTTTAACTTCTCTTCCTCCCCTTGGCTTAGGTGTTCCAACCTTAACTCGTTATATTTTGTCAATTGATTGATTTGTTAATAATGAAATTAAGTGGTCAAAGCACTCTCGTGCGGTCTTGACCTCTTCGACGTTTTCGTCATTATATCGGAATATAAAATTGTATTCACTCACCCAATTCCTGAGCATAGTCAATGTTTACTTGACATGCTTCTAGGAATTATCTGCATCACAACATTATAATGCTCTGAAAAGTTGTGAGTGTAAAATATTTGCTTTAAGGGAAAAAGCTAACTAGGACAAAGTGAGATGTTTTTATTAATCTCTATTATGCAATTTTAATTTCAAACAATTATTTTTTTTATCAGATTTATTGATGAAACTGTGTCAGTGATACTTTTTCATACCTTAGATGGTTTTGCGTTCTCTCGTGATTTAATTTTTGTTGGAACTTGTGGTGAGCCTTCTGGTTCTCTTGATTAGTGAACTGCTTATTTTGTGCTTTATCTCTTTGGTTTTGGCATAACTATTTGAAGTGGTTGATTGGAAAATTGCATTTTGCTGATAGTTTCTCCTGGTCCTGCGATTGTTATTTCTATTACGTTGGGCGTCATAAGCTTTCGGCCTATCGGATACATTATTTGTACATAACCCCTCCCTTTGTGCTACTTGTTTAAGTTTTTGTGTCGACGTAATGTCGTATCCAGCTAAAATCATGAAAAGCCTGTCAGGTAATTTTATTGTAATTGTGTTTTAACTTGTTTATGCTTTTGCATTTTATACGGTTAATTGATTTGATGTCTTTCTAGTTTGTGGTTATTATTATTACAATTATTATTATTTGTTGTATCTTATTAGAAAGACCCAGTTTTTCGGTATTGCCGGGTTCAGAAGATATTCTCAGCTAGTAGTAATTACTGTTCCTTGTAGTCTTTATTTCCCAAAGGGTCAATGTAACCAAACTACTACCCAAAAGTTCTTATACGGATACGATAGCGTGTAAGAGCTAAGACTTTGTTATCCCTTAGCGATCTCAAGTGTTTCCTATATACATACATATATATACTATATATATATATACTATATAGATATTTAATATATATATATATACATATAGTATATATTTGTCATATTTATCAACACACTATATATACCACTCATTAATGCCATAGCCTATAAGATACAGAAAGACTTAAAAAATAAACATAGGAGTATAAACACACCAAATATTGTAAAAACACAACCTCGTGATAACATCGACATTGGTCAAGATCCAACTGTCCCCTTACGGTAGCCATAAACAAATCACCCTAAAAATCACGCCACAGTCAATGTTCCCATCGGAGCAATATCCCATGAATTATTGCTGAAGCAGCTCAAACTTCACTCAATTTTGACTCAAACTGTCTCAAACTGTAGTTTGCTAAGCGGCCGCAACAGATAGATAATCAGTTCATATTCGGAAAGTCGCCTTTGGTGACAATAAAGAATAAATTATATGTTTTAGAAGTATCTAACCGTGCTAAACTTAATATGCGTCGTCTTTAGGATACGCCGCAAAAACTTGAGATCGCTAAGGGATAACTAAGTCCTAGATCTTATGTGCAATCATCACCGTAATAGTTGTCGCGTATGCAACAAACAAACCCCATAAGTACTTGCGACTTGTTATGCC